TCCTGTTATCTGTTCGATAGGGGCTGAGGTGCTCCTATGTTCAGGTTATGGACTGAGGATAATGCTCTAAAGCAGTGGTATTTCACAATAAGGCTAATCAGACCAGTTTTAAACACCTTTAAAGGAGAATTATGAGGCAAGGGATTTTCACTTAGCCTCATAATCTGAGCCGACCTGTGACAATAAAACTGTCACAGGTCGGCTCAGTAGATCGGGAAGTGAGCGAACACATACCGGCGCTCGCTGACTTCTCGATCTATCCCTGCAGAGAGCCGTGACTGTCACTCACGGCTCCCTGCAGGGATTCCCCCCCTAGGGGGCAGGTACAGCTGGCTCTGCCTCTAGATAGGCAGAGCCAGCTGTCACTCACGCAGCTGGGTGGATCCAGACAGAATTGTTGGGATCCGTTCCGGCTGCGGCGTCTCAGTATACCGTGAGCTGTAGCTCGCGGTATACTGAGCTTGGGTGACAGGAGGATGCTAGTTTGTGTCCTCCCGTTACCCTAAGGAGAACTATGGGGAAAATCACTGACCCCATAGTTCTCCTTTAATCTTGCCCATGGCCACTGTTTTTTTCCTTTAAAATTGCTTTTCAGCATTGAATACAAATTAATTTATTTTTGTGTCATTTATGTGTATTTGTTTTTTTTTAAAATAAATATATTCTTTTTCTTTTTAAGACCATTTGTGACTTACTCACCTTCCATGCCCTGGCATAATCGTCTGCATGGTAACCTCTTCTGAAAAAAATACAGAGGTCATCCATTCTCTAACTCTCGTTTGGATGAGTTAAACCATGAACGGCGGCTTCATTTTAATTTCCATTGATGAACGCTCAGCCTGTTGTCCCTGTAATCACCACTGCTATTCGGACCTCTTTGGATCACATCTGGATTTAATAAATCTATAGTGCAGGCTGATTTCAGCTCTATATAATGTGGCATTTTAGCTGCTATAGGGGCAGCTGCAATAGATGTAAGACAAAAAAATGAGTTACATATGGCACAGATTTCACAGAGGAATATGAGGTTTCTCTTTGAGAGAGCAGGGATATTAATCAAAGTTAAGTCTTTAGCATTGTAAAGGCTTATAAAACTGTTTACCAGATGGGGAAGTGGAATAGAAAAAAAGAGATAATCAAAGGACTAGAACAAAAATATGTTGAAACGGAGAGAAATAGAATGCATATAGTATGGAATGTAAAAAAAACCAAAACATATTTCAAATGTACGTAAATCCTAACAATGAGCTTTTCTAATTTTATCCCTTTTGATCTGCCAGAAATCTTGTGAGCTGATATCTAACTGTGTTCTCTGCCTGTGTTGACTGTTATTAGTTAAATTGTTCTCAGTTATCTACAGAACCACACCACTCTAGGGTGAGTGTTGTCATCTTAGAACTGGAAGTGTGTTATTGGCAGAATCACCAGGTTAATTAAAGAGAAAAAAAGAGTAAAAAAATTAAACAAATGCAGTCACCACATCTAACTGAAGCAGTGAAATCATTAACCGAAAATAGAATAGTATATATACGTGGACTAGTTGGTTTTAGGCTGGGCTCACACCTAGGCAGCACCGGTTTTGTGCATTTGTACGTGAGTTAATGGTTATTTGCGCGTTGTGCACATTTGTATGCACGTTGTTAACGCGCGCACATGAAGACGCGCGTTTTGATTGGCAGCTCATAAACCATTGTGGAAGAACACACATATAAACACGCAAAAACGCTCGCAAAAATGTACAACACGCGTCTGTTGCGTGTTTTTGGGCCTTTACAATGATGGGGAAGAAACATGCTTTTAACTGCCCAAAGAAGCTCCTGTATCTTTTCGGGTGTTTGGTGTTTTTCTGCTGGTGTCTTTCTGCTCGGGTGTGAACCAGAGCCATTGAAAATCATGGCATTTCTTGTGTTCGGCAGTTAAAAAAGCTTTTCGAACTGCTCAAAAACTCCTAGGTGTGAACCAGGGCTTATTGTGGTTACTTTTTAATAGTTTATTATATACTTTTAAATGATTGTTGCGATTCTCCGACTGATTGTTACTTTGTCTACTCTCTGTATCTATGCTAGGCAGCTTTTTTTGCTTGTATAAAGAAAATTGACTGTGATGTTCACTGAACTGCACTGAAGTTCAAATGTCAATCTGAACCTCATTGAAGTCAATAGGAACAAAATCTTTAAACACAACTCTGTCCATTTTTCAGGCCTAATAGGCAAGAAGTTGTCAAACAGAGGGCATGGGTAGGTGGGCACTGCCAGGGGGGACATGTGCCAATGGAAAAAATAATTTTCAATAATTCTGTTCAGTGGAGAGCAGCTTTTTTAAGTACGCTTAAAGTGAAAAATTCAGAATGTAAAATCTCTTTAAATAACATGTCTTAAACCTGCCTGTGAAGTGGCGCATTTGTAGGATGTTCACAAAATGTTCACAAAAATTATATTTGAGAAAGAAAATTAAAAAAAAACAATTGTTGGTAAATTACAGCTTTTTGGTAAAAAATGGCATGGGGACCCCCCAAAATCAATCAAAGGGCATGGGGAGTTGGGCACTGCACTGGATGACATGTTCCACTGCAATCATTTATATAATATATATAATTACTTGCATTTGGGGGTGCCCTAAATCTGCCTGTGAAGTAGAGCATCTGGATAAACTAAAGCAAAACCCCAATATTCTCCCCACACTATTTTGTGAAAGGAAAAAAATGCCATTTGTGCTAAATTACATTTTGCTGCTGGCTTGTTTTTTTTTTAACAGCATGGGACTGCTGTTTCCCCATCAGCAAAGTGTAATCTACCACAAATAGTATTTTTTTTTTCTTTAACAAAATGTTGCAAGTAAAACTCTGCCAAATGTCCTTACCAGACCCAAATCCTTAATCCATGCACCCCCCCCAAAACATTCCAAGTCACATGCCCTTAACATGGGGAGTATACTGTTCATTGATCCCCCATGAAGATGTGGGTGTTTTGCAGGAAGGACTTATCAGAATCTGGAAGCCCCCTTTAAGATAAAGGCCTCCTGGACATCCACCCCCTCCCCTAAGTAAACAAGTACATAGTACCCCTCATTTATTCACACAAAATGGAAATGTAAGTAAACACACTGATGCATCCTTTAAACCCCCCTCCCCCAAAAAAAATCCCATGGTGCAAATCCATTGTCAATCAATTTATCAAGCAATGTAGATCCATTGTCAATCAAAATTAACAGCCCCACAGCCAAACATAGACAAGGAGCGAGGCCACCACATATGGCCATGGCCGTATTTGATCAATGCAGGTGACCTCTTCGTCAGTCATGCCTAATGAAGAGGTTCTGCATGGCCCTGAATTGTTGCACTGTGATGTGATCTCTTTAATAAAAACTTGGACATTATGACAAGGATCAGTGGTGGGCTAACAACACATTTCCTCTATATCAGCCTTTCTCAAACTTTTTACCAAGAGGAATCCTTGAAATTATATTCAGGTCTCAGGGAATTGCAGATAAAAAGGATATGATCCATTAGCATGATCAGTAAGTTGTAAATATAATATTATAGAAAAGAAGAAAGAATGTGATGTACTTGGGTGTAGTTTCTGACACCCAAGGTCAATCCTTTTTAACACCCCTCTGCTCTATATGATACAAAAAATTGCAGTAATGATCATAAAATTAAAATGAAAAATAATAATGCCACGAAAATAAAAGTAGTCAGACTTCATTGTGTTCATGGTAAGTGAAGGCTTTCCTTAGATTGGTGTTACAGTAGTAGTCACCTTATATTGGTAGTCAGTGGGAGAGGTTTGCCCTTACATTGATGGTCAGTGGAGAAAGACCTTGAGACATTAGTGTTCAGTGAAGAGTCCCCTTACATTGGTGATCAATGAAGGGTCCCCTGATATTGGTGGTCAGTGAAGAAGTGTCCATCTTACAATATGGTCCGTGAGAGCAGTGCTAGAAATATCGCCATAGCGACCCAGGCGGCTGCTATGGGGCCCGGGGCACAGGGGGGCCCGGCCAGGACGAGGAACAAAGGGGTCCCCTTGATGCCGTGTGGGCCGTCTGGGTCACTATGGCATCGCAGGTTGCTGGCTGTCACTGGCGGCTGTGAGGAGGAGCGTGCCACTGTTCAGATCACTAACAACCTGTCAGTGATCTGTGCAGCGGCGTGTTCCTTCTCACAGCCACTGCTGAGTCAGTGACAGCCAGCAGCTGCAGAGGAGGAGGCGGTGCCCAGTGTCGGCAGCGGAGGAGGAGGTGGGGCCCGGTGGCAGTGGAGGAAGAGGCGGGGGCCCACCAGCGACTGTGAAGTAGGAGGAGGCATGGCCCAGCGGTGGAGGAGACTGACGGCGGATCGGGGCTGACAGGTAATAGATGTGCAGGGGACCAGCCCACCTGAGACCCAGCAGAGCCCACCATAGAGACTCTATGGTGGGCTCTGCAGGGTCACTCTCATGTGGGCTGTGTGGGATCTCAGGTGGGCTCTGCAAGGGGCGTAACTAGAAATCCCAGGCCCAGATACAAAATTTTGCTACGGAGCCCTGTGTAGTTATGCCTCCTTACATCTATGTTCAGTGAGCGGGTTAATGCCCCTTACATTGGAGACCAGTTGGAAGAATGCACCATTTTTTTGGGGGGGGGGGGGGCAGAGGGAAGAATGTCCATTACTATGGCAGTTAGTGGGAAGAATACCACCCTTATTGACAACTAAAAAGATAATTGGTGTCATCGCTTTGCTAAGTGGTGTTAGACCAGGAACCATGCAAGGTTGGGAGGTCAGTCAGCCACTGCTCAAGGAACTCTTAGCTACCTCTAGAGGAACCCCGGGGTTCCATGGAATTCTGGTTGAGAATGACTGCCCTATATGTATATGGTCATAGTGGAAATGTGTACCCTCTATATTTATATGTTTTACTTCTAAATTGTACTCTCTAAGATACCCTCTATATTTAGTATATGTGTCTCAGTGTGAATAAAGTTTATGTTAAACATCTAGTTTTATTTTTTGCTTCTTATAGGTTGGTCTGCGTAGAAACCTTGCTTCACAGAAAGATGAAGGCATCTCAACCGTCTCCAACAGACGGGTGTTGTCCCAAAGTTACACTGTAACAACAAGATGCGTCCAGAGAGAGGTCAACCTGATCCAAAGCTCCAGAGATGAACAGTTGGAGGAAGTGATAAAAATGAACAAAGACTTGGAAGAAGAACTGAGCAAAACTCAGAGTACCCTAATTTATTTAGAGGAGTGCAACCAGCGCCTAATAAGAGAACAGGCAGAGACGAGAAAGAGAGCCGAAGATGCCCGACAAGCATTGTTGGCATGTTATGGAAAAGTGAAGGACTTGGAAGAAAAATCAAGTGAAGCTCCTCTTCTCCAGATCCGTGTAGACCAGCTGCAGACTGAACTACAGCAATACAGGTAAGCAAGCCAATCCCAATAATATTAAGTCTATAATAAGCCACTTACAATGAAAGAACCCACCAAAGCCATTTCCAGCCACAAGCTTTGTACATCACAGCATTACTGCAAATAGTGTTTTTCCGGAAATTACTGAACACAAACTCAAGCTGGTAATTTTATAGGCATCAAAGAAAAGACAAAACTGCCACTGGCAAAAATCAGTAGGCTGTTCAGCACCTCAATTAAGAACCATTATTAATGATTTCTCAGTCTGTCTACCTCTGGGAGTTAACACATTTCCAAGCAAAAGTAAGAAATCAATAACTGTTTTATCTGCAGCAGATTCCTGCCATGGGCACGATGGCTGTAAAATTAATCAGTAAATTATAGCTATATACAAGGAGAGGTGTTACACAGACATTTGTCCTCTTTAAATAGGATTAAATCCAGGGCCTCAGCAAAAGTATCTACATACCTATGATGTCTTTGACAGAGCACTGAGTGAAAGCAATCCAAATCTATACACACATGATCTGAGCAGATGTAAAATCGTGTGATGTTCTGTTATCCTTCATGTACAAAGACTTGTTTTATCTCGTCTTCAAAGATAAACTTCAGGCAAACACTAAATATACAAATTAAATGCATATATAGGAGCTGTTTTACCAAACATAGGCTTTGTATTTTTGTCCATTCATTTCACAGCACAGCCATGTCAGGGCAAGAGCTAGATTTTTCTCTCTAGTAATACTCGCAAGCCTTGTCTCATCCCCATCCTGTAACCGGACAGTGAAAGGAGAAAATGCAGACTAAAATGCGTATCTTTCTTTCTCTGTGCTCTCTCCTCCTATCTGCATGTTCCTTGTTAGAATGTGAGCACCGCAACACAACTGATTGGCTTTGTTTGCAACTTCTCCCTGTTCCAGTCTAAGCTCTACTTTACCTTTATTTGCAAATGTGCCAGTTACTGTATATTCTGGTACTTGCATTGGTTGCAGTAAAAACATACATCTCATAACATTGACAAATACAGAGCTACAGGTTTCTTTTATGTTTGTCTGGATTTCATATACACAGAAGTGACAGAACAAAAGTGACCACATGTAAATATATTGGCATACATAATGTTCCACCCTGCAATTCTTCATACACAGGCTGCCTTGTGTACAGCAAGGTTTGCCATTCACAGGGACTGGTGTGGATGAGAGGACAGGTTTATTTGAATGGAGACGGCTGGAGGGTGTAGCAAAAGAAGGCCTGGCTTCTTACTGGGGAAAAGTATTATTGGTTGGCCACTAGGGCCAACTATAGATCAGAAGTCATTATTTGATCCTGCCTAAACAGGCTCAAAAAGGGTTGATCTTTTTTGATGTTGCTTCATAGCCAATGAAATGCAGTTTCTGCAGAACAAGGTTGAAAATGAAACAAGGCCCCTGATTGGCTGCTGTGAGCTCTTGTTTTGAAACAAAAACCCATAAAATATATATATATTTTTTTAAATGGACACATATTCCATACTATCCCTTAAAATTGACAAAAATGAATCAATTACACATATATAGAAATAAAATCAAAAACGTTTTCCTTGGCTTCCTGATTTCTTGGTCATGGTTTCTTCCTCCTTCAGTGATGTGCTGCTCTCTTGTGTATTGTTCCATGAGTTGATAGACACAACACTTTGACATAAACTTAGCTGGCCGTACATGCTCAGAATAACTATAGTTTAGCCCCATGGGCTGAACTAGAGAAATCCATAAATTTTCATCACACTTTTAAGACACTTACAAAGAGGAGAATGGGCATGCCAGTGGCATTGCTTGTGAGAGCTTGCAATCTAGTAGAAGGGGCAGGTGATAAAAAAGGTAATAACTGTTTAATGGTTTAATGGGAGAACTGATAGGGCGGTTATATCAAGGTGGAATAGCCCTTCTTAGAAGAGTTGAGTTTTCAAGCTTCGCCTAAAGGTGGATAGAGTAGGAGATAAGTGAACAGATTATGATAGGGAGTTCCAGAGGATGAGACACACTCTGGAAAAATCTTGGAGGCGAGCATGCGAGGAGGTGACAAGAGAACTGGAGAGCAGGAGGTCTTGGGAGGAGCGAAGGGGGCGGTTTGGGTGATATTTTGAGATGAGGTGGGTGATGTAGGTTGGGGCATAGTTGTAGATGGCTTTGTAGGTTATTGTTAGTATTTTGAATTTTACACGATGCACAAGTGGGAGCCAGTGGAGCGATTGACAGAGGGGGTGGTGAACACTGATCGGTTGGTAAGGTGGATGAGTCTGGCAGCAGCGTTCATGATGGACTTAAGGGGGGATAGCCAGCTAACATTTTTTATGCAGTTACAGCAAGTTTTTTCCCCTTTGGGATAAAAGTTTTATATGAACAAAAGCTAACCATTGCAAGCACTCCTGTGAGTGGGAAATGGTTTGTCTCAACCCTGTATCTGCCACTTTTACTGCACAGCTTCGTCTGTTAAAGAAATTGGACGGACCACCCGGTAAAAATAAAGCTAAGAAAACCTATAAAAAGAAAACTAATGCTGCCACCACATCTATGGCTTGGTAAACTGCAAAACATTAAATTTCTGCTTTTGGGTTTATAGACACTTTAAGTTACATCTTCCATTAAATAGTGTCTGAAGGCAACAATTCCCCTAGGACCACCCTATGACCATTGTGTGGAGCAGAAGGCCCAGGATATAACCCCTCAGGTATATTACATTTAATAGCAGCCATCGTTTATTTTCACTGCCATGTTAGCTTATAATAAATGTGATTGCCAGATTGCATCCATACCCTGTACACAGACCATATGTTGTGTATCTGAAGATTAATACAACTTTGACTCCACGCCTTCGTCTATTGCCCGACTTGGAGGTCACATCTGCTCATTTGTGTAATTAACATCGCATTTCTCACAATTTGTCCTGGCTCAGTGAGAATGAATTGTGACGGCTTTGTTATGTGGATCACAACAACATCCATCATTGGGATAATAACACACTGCTCATGTTGGCGGCAGCAAAATAAAAGTCTTTGTGGGACAATTTCCTGAAGGCTGAGCGCTATTCATATTTTTATAACTGTTTATGCTGTATTCTGGTAAGTGTTCCCTTACTCGGCCTTGATGAGCTATAAATGTTCATTGGTCTGTTAGTTATTGAATCAGTCACTGTAACCAGCTTAAACACAAACACAAAGTTATATTAGATTATAGTCCAGAGAGATGTTTGGAGACCTAGCGAGTAAAGTAGCTAAGAAGAGCAAAATCAATGCAAACAAGACTAGGGAAGCTTGAAAGTTTAGTTTGGACAGCATTTGTGATCCTTGTCTCCTGGCTGCCTCCAAGCCCCGCTCACCCAGAGGTCTAGACACCAGAGAGGTTCTGCATTAAGAGATTCATAGACATTGTATATCCCACAACAATCAGTGGTCTATTTATTTTCATAAATGTCATTTTAGGCAGTTACATGGAAACCAATATATCATTAGTTGCTATGGGGAGAAATAATTATTTTCCTCTGGAACAGTATTCGGATAACCCAGTTTAAATCAGGGGTTTGGGGTTCCTAGGTAAGCATATTTATCAAAGGTAAGCCAAGGCTTAACCCTATGCAGCAAAGCATTAAACAGTCAACCTGGCCCAGGCCTAAAGCATTTCTAAGCGCAGCTAAAGTGCATGGACCTTGTGGTCTCTGCACGTAACTGTGTTAGTCCTCAAACTAATTCCTGTGGAGCCTCTTGGATCCTAAGCCGGGGTGTATATGGGGTCTTGACTTCATTTAATAACTAATTGTCAGAATTGCAGCGGGTAGTAGAGGCTTTGAAAATTGAATGGTAGGGCTTTCCACCAAGATAGGGAGGGCTTAGTCTTGACTTGGAAAAGGTTGAGGCTTCATATAAAGCCTTACCCAAGGGAGCTTTCGGAGACACAGGGATTGATTTAAAATCTAGCAAAAGTACTTAAAGGGAACCACAAGGTATCTGCATTTTGGAACTGTTGCCTGGGAAACAATTTAGGCCAGCTCAGGTGGAATTTGAACCTGAACTCCAACCTTTCCTTTAGTCTTGCACAGCTGTACAGGCTCCTGTACTTAAATTGCTTACTCTGATTTTACTGCACACTGTGAGATTCTCACAGTTTGTATTAGAAGCTGCAGCAAGTCAGTTACTAGTTTCCTGGCTGGAGTACATCTATACAAATGTACTATTTAACTACCAAACTGGTTATTCTGCACTGAATTACAACTTAAGTTCAAATTAGTAAGCTAAACGTGAGCTTGTAATCCCTCACGGGAGTGAGCTTGGAGCTGTGACTACTTTATAACACACACAGGGACCATGGGGAACAAAGTATCCACCCTCCAGAAGGAAGAACAGTGTTAGCCGGAATTTAATGGTGATTTGAGAATGTAAAGCTGAGAGATACACAAATAAGTTGACATTTTTGTTAATAGTTAAGGTACTTGAATGCATTTTTTAAGATCTAACTAAATGTAACTGAGTTTAGTGTCACTTTCGCTATTTGTTTAATTTAATTTTTTTTTAAATTACCGTCAGTGGGTTTTGGGGAAATATCAGTGGTCTAAACAGACATTTGATATTTCCCTTTTGATAGAAAGAGAATCCTCAGCCTCATTCTCTGCAGCCACATCACCCACTAAACAAGAAGCACTCTGTACAGAGGCGTCCTGTCCATTCACAAACTGAGGATATAGTACATGTTTATTATCTCCTCAGTTATGGATGGCTAGGATGGGATCTGTCCAAGGCTCCTCCTGTCCATTCATAAACTGAGGAGAGAGTAAATATTTATGAACAGGAATGACAGCTATTTATTTACAAAGAACAGTCAGGGGGACTGCTATTCTGCTATTAGCTTATGGCAACCATGAGCTTATAGCAGAAGGGTGAATGCAGCTGATGTAAGGCAAACTGAGCTGGCAAGCTCGTAATGTTTTTGTCCACTGCATACCTTACATCAGTGGCAGGGTAAGGGTTAAAGAGCCGATCAGAG